TTAATATTCATTTATATAATAATTAACCTTACATTTCGCTATTCAACATCTGCTAACAAAACTACAACAAAAATGACATCAAATAGCGTAAATACATCAATATCAAAGGTTTATGCGGATGTATTGGCTTCTAAACCACAATCATATTGGGATTATGAGAATGTGAACATTAAGTGGAACTCGCAGGACAACTACGAAATCATTAAAAAATTAGGAAGGGGAAAATATTCTGAGGTATTCTTGGGTATAGACCTAGAAAAGGGTGAAAAATGTGTTATTAAAGTGTTAAAGCCAGTTAAGAGAAAAAAGATTAAGAGAGAAATATCCATTTTAAAAAACTTGGTCTCAGGACCTAATGTGATTGGGCTCTTCGATATAGTAAGAGAGCCACAACTGAAAACTCCTGCTTTAATATTCGAAAATGTAAATAACATTGATTTCAGAACTTTGTATCCTACCTTCACTGATTACGATATAAGGTTTTACATGTACGAATTATTGAAAGCTTTAGATTTCTCTCATTCGATGGGTATAATGCACAGAGACGTCAAACCACATAACGTTATGATTGATCATGATAAAAAGATTTTGAGGTTAATTGATTGGGGTTTGGCGGAATACTACCACCCTGGGACTGAATACAACGTTAGAGTTGCATCCAGATATTTCAAAGGTCCTGAACTATTAGTCGACTTCAGATTATATGATTACTCTTTGGATTTATGGTCCTATGGATGTATGTTAGCATCAATGGTGTTTAAAAAAGAGCCATTTTTCCATGGTAATTCTAACACTGATCAGTTGGTACAAATTGTTAGAGTTTTGGGTTCTGACGATCTTAATAAATACTTACAAACCTATAATTTAACCTTGAGTGATGACTATGAAGACTTGGGTTATTATAATAGAAGACCTTGGAAGAGATTCATAAACGAGAATAATCAGCATCTCGTTTCGGAGGAGTTCCTTGATTTTATTGATAAATTATTGAGATATGATCATCAAGAAAGATTAACAGCAAAGGAAGCTATGGCTCATGCATATTTCGATCCAGTGAGACAAGCTGCAAAATAATGTCGTTAATTTATTTCTATCCCCTTACAGACCCAACCAATAATTGCTACATAGTACTTCAGTTCTAACAATATATAGCTTGAATAATATGGCCCGTTGCCCACATTTACATTAGTCCGTAATTCTCTTGATGTATCAGCTTTGGCTTTAATTTCATTGTAATCCACAATTCAATTTTTAGTTTACTTCTATTTTGGTACATTTACTTGTAATTAGCTTGTAGGAATATTTTTTTTCACATCCATTTGAAGAAATTCATAAAAATGGTAAAAATTCAAAATAAATTGTACAAATAATTAAAAATTCATATAAAATCCCAGATCACTTATTGATAGCTCTTCTGTATTCAGAGTATAAAAATTTATCTAATAAACTCAATAAACAAATAACATATGTGTTATATAGGTACTAGATAGGGTAATTCATGTTGCAAGAGTTCTGCTTCATGAAAAATATGTGCAGGAAAATTTCTATGGGTTTCTAGAAATTGAGTGTGGTTGATATAAGTATACATTTACACCCAATTTTATTGACACCCACTAAACATCAACGAAAGATAAGTAAATTACAATGAGTGACAAATTGAATCGCCCAAAGGTATTTTTTGATATTTCCGCTAACGGAAAGCCAAAAGGACGTGTTGTGTTTGAATTATACAACGATGTAGTTCCAAAAACGACTGAAAATTTTAGAGCATTATGTACTGGGGAAAAGGGAGCCTCAGAAAGCTCAGGAAAACCACTTCATTATAAAGGATCTATCTTCCACCGTATTATTAAAGATTTTATGTGCCAAGGTGGTGATTTTACCCACGGATCAGGAATTGGGGGTGAATCAATATACGGAGAGAAATTCGAAGATGAGAATTTCCAATTGACCCATGACAAGCCGTTCTTATTATCTATGGCTAATGCGGGACCAAATACAAACGGGTCTCAATTTTTCATTACAACGGTGCCAACTCCACATTTGAATGGTAAGCATGTGGTATTTGGTGAAGTAGTACAAGGTAAATCTATTGTACGTCAACTTGAAAGATGCGACAAGGGCGACAACGATAAACCAGTCGAAGATTGGATAATCTCTGACTGTGGCGAATTACCATCTGACTATGTACCAGCTGCATCAAGTGTGGACGATGGTACCGGAGATATCTACGAAGAAGTTATGGCAGACGATGACAATATTAACGTCAACGACCCAGACTCAGTCTTTAAAGCCGTCACCACTTTGAAGGATATTGGAACCAAACAATTAAAAGAGGGAAACTCCGAAGTTGCATACACAAAGTACAATAAAGCCTCTGGCTTCTTAAACGATTACTTTCCTGAAGACTTGTCCGAGGAAAACTTGACTAAATTGCACGCTTTAAAATTGTCATGCTACTTAAACGCTGCTTTGGTCGCCTTAAAATTGAAGGACGGTAAGAAAGCTATCAACGCAGCATCTAATGCATTAGAAGTTGAAGTCATTGACGATAAATCCAAGGCAAAGGCCTTGTACCGTAAGGGTATGGGTTATTTACTTGCAAAAGACGAAGAATCGGCCCAAAAGTCCTTGGAAGAAGCTTTAGCTTTGTCTCCTGGTGATGCTGCTATTTTAAAAGGTTTACAAGAGGTCAAAACTACCATTAAAGTCCGTCGTGATAAACAAAAGAAAGCTATGTCCAAATTCTTCTCTTAAATAGATGTAATAAAGATCGTTTAACTTAGTACTGAAAATTACGCAATAATAAATTTGTTAAGTATGTATGTGTGTAAAAAATAGACCGGGGTAATTTTTCGTCGCCACTTCCAGCGAACCTGAAAATTAGTGTAATAATAAGCAAAACTAAACAAGGTTGTGTTCTCCATAGATTAACTTACCAACTTGCAACCTAATTATCTATCCAACCTCCATTCTATATTATCCATAGAAGCCTGAATACATAGCTTGTTATTTGTTCAATTAATTCAAATAGCGTTTGTTTGATATTAGGGTATAATCTCAAAAACCACTTCCAATTTGCATATACTATTTAATCTGTATAAAGTCATAGATAATTCAAAAGCACTCATTTATTTGATTGCGTAAACTATAATAAAGGTAATATTATAGGAACAAAAGGTTTAACAAGGAAACTAATACTTTGATTGAGTTTAAATTAATTTTAATTTATTTATTACAGATATTTATTACAAGAGACAAATTTTCATTGAAGTTAACTGCCAGTAATAGTTGATATATCTGCTTGTTTAAGTTAGGAAAAAAAATAAAAAAATAACTATAAAAAAAAGAATAGTTTTATTAACGTTTATTTCATAATAATCATAGTGATAAAACAATGAGTCGACAATTTCCATATTCCAGTGCGCCTCTCCGCTCAGTGAAGGAAGTTCAATTTGGTTTGTTGTCTCCAGAAGAGGTGCGTGCAATTTCCGTTGCCAAAATCGAATATCCAGAGACTATTGACCAAAGTACAAAGAAGCCAAGAGAAGCCGGGTTAAATGATCCAAGATTAGGTTCCATTGATCGTAATTTCAAGTGTCAAACATGTGGTGAAGATATGGCTGAATGTCCTGGTCATTTTGGTCACATCGAATTAACCAAACCTGTTTTTCATATTGGTTTTATCGCCAAAATTAAGAAAGTTTGTGAGTGTGTTTGTATGCACTGTGGTAAGTTATTACTAGATGAATCAAACCTTGCCATGTCCCAAGCTATCAAAATAAGAGATCCAAAGAAGAGATTCAATGCGGTATGGAACTTGTGTAAGTCCAAGATGATCTGTGAAGCAGACAACGTCACCAGCGAAGATGATCCATCGTGGAAGTCCGACCAACCAAGTAAAGGTGGATGTGGTCATACACAACCTACCGTTCGTAGAGATGGGTTAAAATTATGGGGTACTTGGAAGCAGAATAAGAATTTTGATGAAAATGAACAACCAGAGCGTCGTTTATTAACTCCATCAGAAATTTTGAGTGTTTTCAAGCATATAAATTCACAAGATTGTTATAGATTGGGTTTTAATGAGGATTATGCCAGACCCGAATGGATGTTAATCACTGTGTTGCCTGTCCCACCACCACCAGTAAGACCATCTATTGCATTTAATGACACCGCTAGAGGTGAAGATGATTTGACTTTCAAATTGGCAGATGTCTTAAAGGCTAATATAAATGTTCAAAGGTTAGAAATGGATGGTTCGCCACAACACGTTATCAGTGAATTTGAAGCGTTGTTGCAATTTCACGTAGCCACCTATATGGATAATGACATTGCAGGTCAACCACAAGCTCTTCAAAAGACAGGACGTCCAATTAAGTCTATTAGAGCAAGATTAAAGGGTAAAGAAGGGAGACTTAGAGGAAACTTGATGGGTAAGCGTGTTGACTTTTCGGCCCGTACTGTCATTTCTGGTGATCCAAATCTTGATTTAGACCAAGTTGGTGTCCCAATATCTATTGCAAGAACCTTATCTTACCCCGAAATCGTCACCCCTTACAACATTCACCGTTTGACTGAATATGTTCGTAATGGTCCAAATGAGCACCCAGGTGCCAAATATGTTATTAGAGATACCGGTGATCGTATTGATTTAAGATATAATAAGAGAGCAGGGGATATTGCATTGCAATATGGTTGGAAAGTTGAACGTCATTTGATGGATGATGATCCAGTTTTATTTAACCGTCAACCTTCATTACATAAAATGTCTATGATGGCGCATAGAGTCAAAGTCATGCCATACTCTACTTTCAGGTTGAATTTGTCTGTCACTTCTCCATATAATGCTGATTTTGATGGTGATGAAATGAACTTGCATGTTCCTCAATCGCAGGAAACAAGAGCAGAATTGTCACAGATCTGTGCAGTTCCGTTGCAAATTGTTTCTCCTCAATCAAATAAGCCAGTTATGGGTATTGTGCAAGATACTTTGTGTGGTATTAGAAAGATGACTTTACGTGATAACTTCATTGAGTATGATCAAGTCATGAATATGTTATATTGGATTCCAAACTGGGATGGTGTCATTCCACCACCAGCTATTGTTAGTCCAAAGCCATTATGGACTGGTAAGCAATTATTATCTATGGCAGTACCTAAGGGTATCCATTTACAAAGATTTGATGACGGAAAGAATCTATTAAGTCCTAAAGATAATGGTATGTTAATTGTTGATGGTGAAATTATGTTTGGTGTTGTAGATAAAAAGACTGTCGGTGCTACCGGTGGTGGTTTAATTCACACAGTAATGAGAGAAAAAGGTCCTCAAGTTTGTGCACAATTATTCAGTTCTATTCAAAAAGTTGTAAACTTTTGGTTATTACATAATGGGTTTTCTATTGGTATTGGTGATACTATTGCCGATTCTAGTACTATGAGAGATGTTACTACTACTATCCAAGAAGCCAAGGATAAAGTGCAAGAAATTATTTTGGATGCGCAACTGAATCAGTTGGAACCAGAACCAGGTATGACATTGCGTGAGTCCTTTGAACATAATGTTTCTCGTGTTTTAAATCAAGCTCGTGATACAGCTGGTCGTTCAGCAGAAATGAATTTGAAGGATTTAAATAATGTCAAACAAATGGTGGTTTCAGGATCTAAGGGTTCGTTTATTAATATTTCTCAAATGTCTGCTTGTGTAGGACAACAAATCGTTGAAGGTAAACGTATTCCTTTCGGGTTTGCTGATCGTTCCTTGCCCCATTTCACCAAAGATGATTATTCTCCAGAATCTAAAGGTTTCGTTGAAAACTCTTATTTGAGAGGTTTAACTCCACAAGAATTTTTCTTCCATGCTATGGCAGGTAGAGAAGGTCTTATTGATACCGCTGTTAAGACTGCAGAAACAGGGTATATTCAACGTCGTTTAGTTAAAGCCTTAGAAGATATTATGGTTCATTATGATGGCTCTACAAGAAATTCATTAGGTGATATCATACAATTCGTTTATGGTGAAGATGGTATTGACGGTACACAGGTAGAAAAACAATCAGTTGATACTATACCTGGATCCGATGAAAATTTCGAAAAGAGATATCGTGTCGATGTTTTGGATCCAACCAAATCTATAAGAGAATCATTGTTAGAATCTGGTAAAGAAATCAAGGGTGACGTAAAGCTTCAAAAAGTGTTAGACGAAGAGTACAGACAATTAGAATCCGACCGTCGTTACTTGAGAGAAGTCTGTTTTCCAAATGGTGACTTTAACTGGCCATTACCAGTTAATTTGCGTCGTATTATTCAGAATGCTCAGCAAATATTCCACAATGGTCGTCATAAAGCATCTGACTTGAGATTAGACGAAGTCGTTCGTGGTGTTCAAGACCTTTGTACTAAGCTTTTAGTCATTCGTGGTAAAACAGCATTAACAAGGGAAGCACAAGAAAATGCAACATTATTATTCCAATGTTTGTTACGTTCTAGATTAGCAACACGTCGTGTTATCGAAGAATTTAAATTGAATAGAATTTCATTTGAATGGGTTATGGGTGAAATTGAGACTCAATTCCAAAAGTCTATTGTTCATCCTGGTGAAATGGTTGGTGTAATTGCAGCTCAATCTATTGGTGAACCAGCCACTCAAATGACCTTGAACACTTTCCATTATGCGGGTGTTTCTTCAAAGAATGTTACTTTGGGTGTTCCTCGTCTTAAGGAAATTCTTAATGTTGCCAAGAACATTAAAACTCCTGCGCTTACTGTTTACTTAGAAAAGGAAAGTGCCGCTGACATTGAAAAGGCAAAGATTGCTCAATCTGCCATTGAGCACACAACCTTAAAGAACGTGACATCTGCCACTGAAATTTTCTACGATCCAGATCCTAGAAGTACCGTTATCGAAGAAGATTACGATACTGTCGAGGCTTATTTTGCTATTCCTGATGAAAAGGTCGAAGAATCTATTGAGAAGCAATCTCCATGGTTACTTCGTCTTGAATTAGATCGTGCCAAGATGTTGGATAAACAATTGACAATGTCTCAAGTTGCTGAGAAGATCTCTCAAAACTTCGGGGAAGATTTATTTGTTATTTGGTCCGATGATACAGCAGATAAGTTAATTATTCGTTGTCGTGTTGTTCGTGATCCAAAATCGTTGGATGAAGATGCTGATGCAGAAGAAGATCAAATATTGAAACGTATTGAATCTCATATGTTAGAATCTATTTCTTTACGTGGTATTCCTGGTATTACAAGAGTCTTTATGATGCAACATAAGGTAAGCTCTCCAGATGCCACTGGTGAATTCAAACAAAGTCAAGAATGGGTTTTGGAAACTGATGGAGTAAATTTAGCCGATGTTATGGCTGTTCCAGGCGTTGACGCTTCCCGTACTTATTCTAATAACTTTATTGAAATTCTTTCTGTTTTGGGTATTGAGGCTACTCGTACTGCATTATTCAAGGAAATTCTTAATGTTATTGCGTTCGATGGTTCGTATGTCAACTATCGTCATATGGCGTTATTGGTTGATGTTATGACGTCTCGTGGTCACTTAATGGCGATTACTCGTCACGGTATTAACAGATCTGATACTGGTGCCTTGATGCGTTGTTCATTCGAAGAAACTGTTGAAATCTTACTTGAAGCCGGTGCTGCCGCTGAATTAGATGATTGTCGTGGTATATCCGAAAATGTGATGTTAGGTCAAATGGCCCCATTGGGTACGGGTGCTTTCGATGTTATGGTTGATGACAAGATGTTGCAAACTGCACCTTCTAACATTGCAGTTACTGCAGCAGCTGGTAATGAGGCTGGAGAATACGCAGACGATGGAGGTGCTACTCCTTACAGGGACTACGAAATGCAAGATGATAAGATTCAGTTTGAAGAAGGTGCTGGGTTCTCACCAATTCATACTGCACCAGTTTCTGATGGTTCAGGTGCTCTTACATCTTACGGTGGTCAAGCTACGTCCCCATCGCCTACTTCGCCATTCTCTTATGGTGCTACATCACCATCTTTTGGTGGTGTTACCTCTCCAGGTTACGGCGGAACTTCTCCAACATATTCACCAACGTCACCAAGTTACTCACCAACGTCACCAAGTTACTCACCAACGTCACCAAGTTACTCACCAACATCACCAAGTTATTCACCAACATCACCATCGTACTCGCCAACTTCACCATCATACTCACCAACATCACCAAGTTATTCACCTACGTCGCCAAGTTATTCACCAACTTCACCATCATACTCGCCAACATCGCCATCATACTCACCTACATCTCCAAGTTACTCACCAACTTCGCCATCATACTCACCAACTTCCCCAAGTTACTCACCAACCTCGCCAAGTTACTCACCAACATCCCCAAGTTATTCACCAACCTCGCCAAGTTATTCACCAACTTCGCCTCAATATTCACCAACATCACCTCAGTATTCCCCAACTTCACCATCATACTCACCTACTTCCCCATCATACTCTCCAACATCACCTCAGTATTCCCCAACCTCACCTCAATACTCACCAACATCACCACAATATTCACCAGGTTCGCCTCTGTATTCCCCAGAATCTGAGAGTAAATCGAAGGACGAAAAGAAGGATGGCAACTAACTTTTATAAAGATTTTGTATTTAATATTATTGCTCTAATTATATCTGTATTTGTATAGTGTTCTACATAAAATTAAAAGAAAATGAATAGAAATATTATCAAATTTTGCGACATTAAAAACTCCATCGATTTTGGATTTTGTACTAAGTGAAATCACTTCCAGCTTACGTTTAATTAATTTAAATGTCAAATAGATGTCAGAAAACAAGAAGAATAAGAATAAGTCATCCAATGCGATATCAGGATCTTTAAAGGATACAGAGAAAAGACGCAGGCAAGTTTTTAAACCAATACTTGATAACCCATATACGCAGACAAAATTATGGCCATATATATCACCAGAACTTTCAAATACCATACTAGAACATCTCAGCCAAATTCTATCTAATTTAGGATCTTATAATGGGTTGGTTGCTGAAGCAAAAAAGAACAATAACTCCAAAATGAAAACTACTGACATTCCAGAAATTCGTAAAGAAATAACGATTGGATTTAATTCTACCATCAAAGCATTAGAAACCCAGGCATCAAGACACAGACAAATATTAAGTAATAAGTCTAAAAAACATAAGAAGCAACGCATTTCGGATCCTTCTCCGTATATTAAGTATGTCTTTGTTGCTAAGTACGATATTACATCGTCATTATTGACAAATCCATTCCCCGTACTTGCATTTACATCTTCTACTTCTGTCAATGATAGAGTAAAGCTAATACAACTACCTCGAGGAAGTATGTCTAGGCTTTCGTCCATATTGAAAATCGAGAATGCAAGTATCTTAGGTCTTTCAGATAATATTGAACAAGCACAAGCTCTCTACGAATTAATAAAGGCCGAAGTCAAGGACGTTGAAGCTCCATGGTTAGACCATCTTTTTTCTGAAAATGACCTGCAAGTACCTGGCGTCTTCAGAAAGCCAGCTGTAAAGTTCTTAAGTACTTCTGCTCCGATTATGGCCAAGAAGAATGATCAGAAGGCTAAGAACAAGAGCAAAAAAGAAAAAGAGCCTGCCGAATTAAAAGACACAAACAATGAGAATAAGAGTAAGTAATCAAGACTATATGTATTCCATAATGTATAATAAAGTATAGATAGACCGTCGAAGAAATTTATAGACATTCTCAAGCTCACAAAATTTGAACGTAATGATATTTTAAATACGCGTCCTTAAGTACAATTTTTTTAAATATTCTGATAGTTAGTGATAAGGATATATATAAACATGGCAAAGAATTTTTCTCTCTCTCTTGAATTACCATGGGTGGAAAAGTACCGTCCCCATAAATTGGATGATATAGTGGGAAACGAAGAAACTGTGGAAAGATTGAAGCTATTAGTCGAAGATGGAAATATGCCACACATGATCATTTCTGGATTGCCAGGTATAGGTAAAACTACGTCAATACATTGTCTTGCATATGAATTATTAGGGCCTGAGTTATACCATCAGGCTACTCTAGAGTTGAATGCATCAGATGATAGAGGTATTGATGTTGTTCGTAATAAAATTAAACAGTTTGCACAGACAAAGATTCTGTTACCAGCTGGAAGACATAAAATAATTATTTTGGATGAAGCTGATTCCATGACACCTGGTGCTCAACAGGCATTGAGAAGAACAATGGAAATTTATTCCAATACCACTAGATTTGCATTTGCTTGTAATCAATCGCTGAAAATTATAGAGCCATTACAATCTCGTTGTGCCATATTGCGTTATACTAAGTTATCTGATGAGCAAGTATTAGAACGCTTGTTAGAAATAACTAAATTGGAGGATGTTAAGTATAATTCTGAGGGATTGCAAGCCTTAATTTTCACTGCAGAAGGTGATATGAGGCAGGCCATCAACAATTTACAAAGTACAGTCGCAGGGTTTGGGTTTGTAAATGATGTTAATGTATTTAAAATCGTTGACCAGCCTCATCCATTGGTTATCAAGAAAATTTTGGCAAGTTGTTGCTCAAGTAAAGGAGGAAATATTGACGACGCTCTTGAGTTATTAGATAATTTATGGGATAAAGGTTATTCAGCTATAGATATTGTTACACTGTCGTTCAGGGTAGCTAAAACATTACCAGGAATAAGCGAGCTGAAGCGTTTAGATATGATAAAGGAAATAGGTTTTGTACACATGAGAGTTTTAGAAGGTGTATCTTCGTACTTACAACTTTGTGGGTTATTTTCTAAGCTCTGTGATTTATAACTATATATAGTGCAAAGAAAATTATTAATTAGTATTTCTTGTAAGCGTCACATAGCATCTCGAAATGCTTAATCTGTTCGTCAATAAAAGCATTGGGAACACCGTCTGCAAGGTTTTCATTTTTTAAGATATTTACCACCAAGAAGTAATTATTGTATAGGAAAATTTCCTTTTCAGTAGATTTACTTCTTCCGGAGCCAAATAAGTGGCTACTTAATTTGGTAAGTACGTTCTCAAAATCGTTTCTCAACCTAGTAATAGAAGTAAACAATGGTTCGCCTCTGAACGTATCGTCATTATCATCTTTCTTATCAGTAGTTACCGCTGCTAATTTTAGCAAGCCCAGCAAAAATTGAGAGAACTGTTGCGTCACGCTGACAGGTGCTAAATGAACCTCTTTAGATTTGGAGGAACCAGAATACATTATTAGCTTTTTCATAGACTCAGAATTGAGGTCAATTATCTTCGTAAAATGTGGCCATAATAAAAGTAATACAGAATTCAAATGGTCATCAAGTACTGGAATATGAAATTCATTATGGAGGAGAGATTGTGCCTTTTGGACTAACCGTATCATTAACAACACCGCATATCCATCGCATGTTCCCTGTAGCGATGCCTTTGAGCCTGTGTTCATTCTCTGGGGATTAGAAGATGTTGTGATGGAAGCATTATTTCTTCCAGTCAAATAAGGAGATGGTTGATGACTGATCAACCAGCTGACAAAATCGTAACCCATTTTATATACGTTTGAAAACATTACATGGGACCAATCATTCTTTTGTGAGTTCCCAGTAGAAGTACTGTCATTTTCTCTAGAGTTTCGTTTCAAAGTGTCCACATTACAAAACTTTTCGTCTCCCTGATAGAAGAATTCAACCATAAACAAGTACTCTACTACAATGTTATCAATAAGGGCAATGGACCATTGGTTATAAATAAATTCCAACCAATAATTAAATGGCGTAGTCTCAGCAATTTGTGATGGAATAGCTAACTGTGGTTCTGGGGTATCACCCCGAGCTTCAAGTATTTGCAATCTCTTATCGATTGACAGTAAGTAATCGGATATTGAAAGCTTACTGAGTTGCGATTGTTGCAGCTGTTGTGCTTGTGATTGCAGTTGCAGATGTGTATTAGTTTGTGAAGAGCCCATTGGATTATTTCCACCACTGTACAACCAATTCTTTAACCCACCACCAAACAAGCTCTTTTCATCATTAGCATTATGCCCACTCCCTAAGACCAAATTCAGATCAACGTGGCGAATATGAAGTTTTTCTATAGCATATAAATATTTCGCAAAACGAGTTTGATAATACCATTTCATTGTATATATATATGCTAATTGTAATTGATTTGCCAACTCCGAATGATGTACTTTTATAAAGGCGAATAATTCCTTAACATTAAGAAGGCTTTGTTGAATACTCTGTGATGAAGTATTTTGAGAGGAACGAAGCAATTTGATATTGTAGATAATAAAATCTCGTATTCTTTCCACGGATTTGGCTACTAGAAGTTTAATGCCCGATTCAAGTTGTGAAAATGCACGAGAGTCCTTGTATAATTCTGTCAATTTTTTGTCTGCCTTGTTAGACTTCACACTTGAGATTAGAAGGATCTTTTCATTGATGAATCTTATATTTTCAAGCCATTGTACGTCTATCAGATCCTTTACTATAGATTTTACTATATCAGGAGGAATCATGAGATCCAATATAATTGGGTTCAACTTTTCCGATGATGCACGCTGTAAATCCAAATCAGAAGACAATCTACTAGATTGCTGTTGTAAGGATGCTAAACTCGACGATAATTGTTCTAATTCGGTGTTGAAGTCTGTTATGATGGTTTTTATTGGCATTAATTTTTCCCTATGAGTCTTGATATTAGTTTGGTATTTTTGAAATCGTGCAATAAGTTTATGCAAATCTGAGACAGAAAGTGAACTTATTTGTGATGAAGTATTAGCTTCTTCATTAGATGACTCAATTCTAACAAGCTCCAACAATTGACTCAAATTATTCGATTCTTTCTTTTTATGAACTATATAGTTTTGAAGGTTGTTAAGGCTTTGTACATTTCCATCATCAGCTAGCTGAATCTCATTATCCTTATCTTTCTCTAAGATCTGCTTTAGAGTTTCCAATGCACTCATAGCTAAGCTGATTACTTTAGATTATATGAGAGCTTTAATATGTTTATAAACCTCTAGGCGTATAAATATCAAGATATTTCGCGCAGTATATTTCAGAAGTTCAAATTGGTACTAAATTGCAGCTTTTATTGATTATCCCACTGCAAAATAATGAATAGTTTCTCCTTTGATGGTAAGGATGGAGATATAGATACCATTTTTAACGATGAGGATGAATTGATTGCTAGGGTTAGTGAAGATTCAAGAAATAAAGATAGGTGCAAATCGTTGTTAAATGTACCGACTGAGAATTTACCAATTTTTGCTACGGAGTCTCAAGCTAAGGTTATAGAATTTCCTCCGGAGATGAATAAGATACTAGTTGTTAAGGCTGGCCCTGGAAGTGGTAAAACTAGTACTATTGTTAAGAGAATCGCGTACTTAATAAGTCTTGGACAGTTAAAACCAGATGAAATTTTGGTGCTTTCTATGGCAAATAGATCGGTAAATGCATTAAAAAAATACCTTATCAATACTTTAGGCGAGGATCTAACCAATGGCATTAGTATAAATACATTTCATTCCTTTTGTGGGGGTTTAGTAGATCAGTATGGGGATCAATATTCTTCATCATTTAAGAAAAAGACATTAATGGATGATTTAAGCTGGAGGAGCTTTTCTAATATATTTCTGGGAAAATCTATTAGCTTGAGTGGTAGGACAGTTGAAGGCAATTTGACCCCACCGTCATTAGAAAAATTACTTATTTCAGTGAAAAGTGGAAACTTAACTATACCGCAGGCGGCTTACAAGTATAAGGTTAGCAAGGAGTATATAGAGGCGTTGATTATGTATTTGGAAAGCAATGGAATGATAAGATATCATGATTTGCTTGTAAATGCATTGGAGCTTATGGATTTATCATTACAACCACAAGTTGAAGGAAGTAAGAACTTAATACCTCAGCTAAAAAATTACAAAGCTGTAATTGTCGACGAGTTCCAAGATATTCACCCGCAATTATTACTGGTAGTTAAAGCGGTCATCGAATACCCTACATCTGGCTTTGACAAGGGAGACATAAAACATTTAACGATTGCAGGTGATCCTAATCAAAGTATTTACGAGTTTTTAGGCTCAAGGCCAGAATTAATTCACAAAATTCAACTTGAAATACCAGGTACTGAAGTTATTCAACTCCCTATAAATGAGTCCTTTCGTATTACTCCAGAAATATTGAATGCAGTTACAGAAATTTGCTTAAAACCAGCCGGATTATATGACCCATCTCATGAACTTAGATCCATTCGTGATCATGGTTACAAACCAATTATCAGTAAGCACACTTCAAATAGAGACGAATATGCTTTCATAGCCAGTGAAATTACAAGACTAATTTGTGAACTGGGTGGGTTATTAAAACCATCTGATTTTGCAATTCTTACAAGATCTAATAAAGAAATAGAAGAAATATCAAAGTTCTTGACGCAAACTTATAATATTAAGTGCAATAGATTTTCGCTGTCAGCATTGTGGATTAAATCCAAGGTACATATTTTACTAGATATTTTAAATGTGATAAATAAGGGTCCTAGCTCAGACTTTGGTTTATTATGTGTCATATCGATTTTAGACCAAAAATTTGGAAGCTCTTCTAGAATATCAAAGCTATTCAACTTGAGTAACAAATGGAAAATAAGTACCGGACTACAAACTAAAGAAAATGCATTAGAAGAATACATGATACATCAATTGGAGCTACTAGATATACAAGCTGAAAAGAAAGAAGTTACTGCTAACAAGAATAAAAATTCGTTGTATGATATTAAGAATATTTACAAACTACCCAAATATAGTGACGAAGTTTTACGCCTAAAGTCATTTATGGACTCGATTCAGTCCGTAAGAAGGGATTTGGTTCAAAACAATCAAGATTTACAGAATCCGACTCGAATCTTGAGTTCATTACTACGCGTGCTTACAGAACTGGGGTTGCTAGAATATCTAAACTTGCCAGAATTGTCGAAAAAGCGTAGTTCCAAACACCCGGACAGTATTGATGTGGAGAAAGACTATAAAAGATTATTGAGATCATATTTGCAAGCTTTCAATAAGTCTTTAAAATATTCATATGAATGTTATATGGAACAGAATCCACTGAAGAGATCGGAGAAGCTGTTTATAGAATACTTTTTGCGAAGTTACAATGACGAGGTTCCAACCATGGATAGAGAAATGATTAATCTTTCTACTGTACACACTGCGAAAGGATTAGAATTTCCAGTGGTATTCGTTGCCGGAGTAGCGCAGAATCCTAAATCACTGTCATTTTGGGATTCACTTCTCCTAGACCCGCTGGAAACTCATGCACAAAGCAAGGCAAGATTATTCTATGTTGCATGTACAAGGGCAAGGAATTTGTTATATATTGGAACGAATAAGCACTTTGATACACTTCTGCCCAATGTTATCAAAAGTTTAACTTCTGAATTACCGAACATGAAGTCGGTTCTTAATACTAAAAACAATTTATTAGAAAGCCTAGCACAAGATTTGCATAGAAAAATACCAGATTCCTTGAAGATAAAAGAAGGAAAACAATTATATAACGAGTTCACGTCACTTGGGCTACTTCAAAGGAAGTCTACAAACCTAAGTCAAATTAGACAACTCCATACATTTCGGAATATCAAACCTAAACTCTATAAATCACTTATCAAATTTAACGCATTCATAACTAGGAGATAAATAAACAAAACACCTTGCATAACATTCGAATGAAAATATATCTACATGAAGACACATTATTAATTAATTAAGAATTATTTAAATCGAGACTATTATTATGCTAATTTAGCTAATAAATTTAATACACTATTATTCATTGATGAACTATTAGATTCTGAGGTATCTTCACCTTGTGAGGAAGGGTCGTAACCATCATCATCAGTACTATTGTGATCATGTTCATGTTTAAGTTCCAAGTCATCCTTATGATGTCTCTCGAAGTCAATAGAAACTGGGTTTTTGTCATCATCATCATCATCATCATCATCATATATGTAATCCAACCCATCACCATTTTCGTCATCGTCGCTTTTAATAATCTTAATATTTTCAGTCTGATCTTCTCTGTCGTATTCTTTAACTTCTATATCTTCAGAAAATGCAACCGATTTTTTAGTGGAAGACGGAGTAGAATTTCCTGAAGATTCAGGAGAGTGTTTAACCTTTTTTGCGGGTGGACGATCTTCCTCTGCATCACTATCTTCATTTTCATAAGTTGGAATCATATCATCATCGTCATCGTCACCTTCATCAAATTCGGGTGATGGTTCTTCTTCATCATCCCGAGATTGTGATACTGGTTGCTCTTCATTCACTATACTTTGTAGTTCACTTCTTGTAGAATTAAGTTTCTCTAACCTTTTATTTATTATATTCACTTTGCTGTCATCGGTTTGTAAGCCATCAGATACAATAGTTCTTAAATTGTCCAATTGTTTTAATATTTCCAACCTGTCTTTCTTAATTTCTTCAATATTATTGTTGGACATTAAACATAGTTTTTCCAAGACGTTAAGTTTTGAAATGTATATTTTAGGAGATGGCAAATTATCAGATATTGATGGGTCTGTAGGTAAATAGGTCTTTGATTGGATTCCAACTTGGTTCAAATTTCCTTGACGTATATCGATGAGCTGGTTCATATGTAAAAATACATTATTCAATAATTTAAGGTCAGAAGCAATGGCAGCTTTTGGAGCTTCCAATACTGAAGAACTTGAAGAGCCAGTATTCTCATTAATTTCCATCGGCTTATTGGTTTTTGACAATTCAATAGCTTTCTTCATTTCTTTGATATCATTCGAAGAAAATACCAGCCTTTCAGACCAGACATTGACCAACCTATCTACTTTTGGTTTTATTGCTGGATCTAACGTCTTATAAACCTTATTGAATACTCTAGGTAAAACTTTTGAAAATTCTGTAATGAAATCCATCTTCCGTTTATGTCTAGCTTGTTGAACAACATCATTACAGAGATATAATAACGATAATTTCTTGGTTGATCCATTAGCTGGTACATTAAGGATGAATGCAGCCCATAACTCTGCTGTTTCTTTACTGTGTCTGTGATGGAATAATACCCATTGTGAAATCGTCACAATTGAATCTTGTGTTTCTTGCAATGAGCTTAATTTTTTATTAAGTATATCAGGAGAGAAAGACATAATATTATATTCGGTCTTTACTTACTAAGGTCTTATTGATTGATTTATTTGGTTATAGAGATAAGTTAAGTTGATGATGATTTTTTCTTAGTGAGCGCACATTACGAAAGCCATCCAATACAACATCATCTTGTGGGGGAAGATCCCTTGTATACGTCTCCTGATATAGAAGGAGAACTTGACTACTATACATGTACGAACCATGGACGCTACTATTGTTGTATTTAAATGATGCCTATATCAAGATATAGGAAGACTTAAACCACATGGACCATATGATCTTTAATATAGCACAATATTTGATGGTTACTAGATACATATGATTGGTGGTAATTGTAATATAATTCTACAGGGGTTACTGATAATTATTCTAATACGACGACGATGAAGTATGAATTTCAATTACAATGCCACATATTCGAGAATGTATACCATTGTCCATAATGCTGCAAAGAAGACTTTGAACATAGCTCCAAAACATGTCGAATATAGTATAGAAAGACAAACCTAAGAATTTGACATGAAGCATATGTTACGTTTATATGTATAGTTCTAATATAAAGTTGTTAGTACGCTAGATCAAATCGATATTCTCCAGTATTAAACTAACGCGATTTTAAGAATCATCACAAAATTTATATAAACATAATTTTTATGCTTTGAAAACGCCAACAAGTAAGAGTAATGGGTAGAACACGTAAGACATCCGGAGCAGATAAGAAGAATGAGAACAACGGTATATTAAGCGAAAGTTTGACATCAACGCCGGTACCTGATACTACCACTATGTTATCCACAATTAATCCAACTAATATAACTGAACAAGACATATTGTCAGCACAGAATAATAATGATTTAATGAAAATAATTCATGCATTAACCAACACAAAGCAAGATGAAATATTCACGAACTATAAGAAGAAAACAGAACTTCAATTACAACAAAAGAACCTGTTGATCAATGACATGCAACAAGAGTTGAATAACAAACAAAAAATAATTGACAAGTTGTTAGAAGAGAAGCCAGGGAACGATCTGTTACAGACTCCGATGAAAAAACCCAGAAGCAACACACAAAACATGTATGTATCGCCAATCAGAAGGAAAAAAACATCCAAGCAAGAGCAGGAGGTAATAAACCAGGATCAATTATCGAAGGAATTAGAAACAATAGGCATAACGTTAGACATGTTGGAGTTATTGACTGGGTTAAGAATAATTAACTACGAGGAGGATGATTCGAAGTTCCATTTTGATCTCAAGCAAACGTCGACAAATGGAAGTGGAACAGAGTTAACCATTGATTATAGATTAATTATCTCCAAAGAATTTACATCAACTGCAGAAATCAACTACGTACCTACTTTTTTGAATGAATTGGGAGACAACGATAGCGAAACCGATGACATAGACGTGGATGATGAGATCCTTGATGCCAAACATAATGCAAAAATGTTATTGGACTTGTTGCCAGATTACTTCTGCGACAATTTAACATTTCCCTACAATACGCTTTCCCAGTTCTACACCAAAATGAACAGGGCCTTGAACAAAGGGGCCAAAAGCTAACATGTGCCAGGTTTATGTATTAAATATCTTATAGACTATGACTATTGTACAGTAATTAGAAACTAATATTAATTGAACCATCGTCGAGCTTGGTCAATTGTAAATTTTTCAAGATATCCTTCTTATCCTTCTTCTTTTCAGACGAAATCTTCTTGACGATCTTGTATAAACTTTCCTGCTTGTTTGAACTCAAGTATGAGGATAAATCAGTAGTAGACTTCTTTTCTTTTTTGGATTCTTTTTTGGACTCTTTCTTTTCCTTCTTAGGTTCTGGTTTGGATTCTACTTTGACTACTTCCTGAGGCTTGTTTTGGACCTGTTGTTTCTTTTTGCCCTTATATAACCCCTTTTCGTATTTTTCTGCTTCACTGATGCAACTAGTATGCTGACGGTATTCGGTACCGTTGAAAGTAACCGAACAGTCAATACAAGTGTAGTATGCACCACCACATCTTTGCTTGTGTTGATCCAATTTCTTCTTTAACACGGTATCGTTACAAACCTCACAACTGAATGAAACCATTTTATATTACTATTTGTATAATTGTAAGTGCTATCTTTTCACAGCTATTCTACTTTTATACCAATTTTTTCACCTGCGCGATGATCCGAATATTTATTTACATGATTTCCTGCTATAACTATACACACCGGTATACCTGCGGACCTAAACATCGAGATATACCTATCCAAGACCCAAAGTACAGATTTTCAATCCTCGGAAGAATCGTCTGGAATTATGGCCATTCTGCGTCACCAGCAACGCACTTCTGCCTATCTCATCGCTCCCACCCCTCACCACACTGGCTCGTCCTCCTTCTTTCTCTTCACTCTCACGATCTCGTAGTCGTCGTTAGAGCTCACCTCATTCTCGTGGTCATGCAAGAGCCCCTGCAACCTATAATAATCGTTCTTTTTGTCCACTGGTCTCTTTTTCTCGATCATCGACAACATCTCCTCTTCGCCCACCTGTCTGTATCTCTCATCGTATTTCTCCCACTTGACCGCCGTGAACTTCTGCAAATACAACGAGCCTGCCACAATCGAAATAATGAATGGCAACCCAAAGTATAAAAAGTGGTTCTTCCGCAACAACTTCTGGTATCTCCCACCAAACGTCCGGTCGTATGCTTCCTGCTCCTTTTTGCCTCGAAATGGTTTACTTCCCAAATGTACCATTGTGCTATGTGTTACTATTACTTGTTGTCCTAATTGGCCTGCTTCGAATATCGACTTCTGGACGTCTACACGCAATTATTCCACAGCTTGATCGCTTGAGGCTCTCCTATTGTACTGTACTAGCGTATAATTATGTCCGGCATTTTGAAAAATATAGTCACGTGAATTACACCCCCTAGAATTTTGTTTCGACGCCTTTTCGCCAGTTAGCGGATGCACCCCTTGTTTATTGAAAGAAAAAAGTGTCTGTTAAAATTATATGTTTAGGTACCCTTTGTTTATAAGTACATCCTTCTATACAGCGTGACAAGTGATCATAGATAGGACGTATAAGTTATAGGTAATCGAGAGCAGTCGACATTACCCAGGTATTACAAAGATTGAGCTAAATTGCAGATTGATTAATTGTTATTGCCCGGTTCTAGCGCCCAGAGAAGTGAGGAACAGGAAAAAAATACATCAACACCAAATTGATTAATACGAAGACGATTGAGTTGATACCAACGATTCTAGTTCTATAGGGATCATTGAAGAGCATCGAGAACAAAAACAGCGATAGGATGTCGGTATATACACCAAATTCAGCCGCAGTTGCTGCTCAACAACAGCAGCAACAACATCAACAGAGACAACAACACCAGCAACGATTGAGTGAGTTATTAGAGGCCGTGAAACAGGAGTTTGACTTTGCGTTGAACGAGGCATCGAATTTCAAGCAGGTGAAGGAGGACTACGACTTGAAATACAACCAGCAGACTGCGGAGATGCAACAAATCAGGCAGACTGTGTACGAGTTAGAAATGGCTCACAGAAAGATTAAGGAGGCGTACGAGGAAGAAATCTTAAGATTGAAAACCGAGTTAGAAAATAGAGATAGACAGGCTCAGCAACACCAAAGCAAACTCAACGGGATTGAAAATAGACAACCCCCATTTGGTAACTATCCACCTCCACAACAGCAGCAACAGCCTCCACAACAAGCTTCAGTTCCGCAAGTATCACAGTCCCAAACTTTACCTCCGCCTATTAAACCATCTCCTAGCAAACAAGAGGCCAAGCCAGAATCGCCAAAGACTGCTAAGGTTGAGGCTACCAAAGATGAAACTATTACACAAGCATCAGCGGAACCACCATCTCCAGAAACATCTACTGCGTTGACTATCATTGACAAGACTCAATACATAGTGAATCCAGCTCAAAAGGCTTCTCACGTCAAGGAGATTCCATCATTCTTGGCTGATTTAGATGTCTCTAAGGCTAATCCTGATTTCAAGAAACAAAAGCCTGATTATTATGTTTTATATAACCCTGCCTTCAGTCGTGATTTGGATGTTGATTTGATTCACTCTTTAGATCACTCTTCTGTTGTCTGTTGTGTTCGTTTTTCCAAGAATGGTGAGTTCATTGCGACAGGTTGTAATAAGACTACACAAGTTTTCAATGTTAAAACCGGTGAATTGGTTGCCAAATTGATTGATGATAACTCATCCAATGGTGTCAATGATGACAGCAACAACGAAAACCAATCAAACGAATCTAATGTCCAATCCTCATCTGCAAATGCAAATGGTGACTTATATATTAGATCTGTTTGTTTCTCTCCTGATGGTAAATTATTAGCTACTGGTGCTGAAGACAAGTTAATTAGAATTTGGGATTTGGAAACCAAAAGAATAATTAAGATTTTACGTGGTCATGAACAAGATATTTATTCTTTAGATTTCTTTCCTGATGGCAACAGACTTGTTTCTGGTTCTGGTGACAGAACTGTTAGAATCTGGGATTTAAGATCCTCGCAGTGCTCATTGACTTTATCTATTGAAGATGGTGTTACCACTGTTGCAGTTTCTCCAGATGGTCAGTTGATCACTGCAGGTTCCTTAGATAGAACTGTTAGAGTTTGGGATTCCACCACTGGTTTCTTAGTAGAAAGATTAGATTCTGGTAATGAAAATGGAAATGGACACGAAGACTCTGTTTACTCAGTTGCTTTCTCAACTAACGGTAAACAAATTGCTTCTGGTTCTTTGGACAGAACTGTTAAGTTATGGAACTTAGAAGGCAAACAAGACCCACAGTCAAATGTTTCTAATAATCCAAGTGGAAAGAAGTCATCTTGTGAAGTCACCTACATTGGTCATAAGGATTTTGTCTTGTCTGTCTGCTCAACTCCTAAGAATGAATATATTTTATCTGGTTCTAAGGACCGTGGTGTTATCTTCTGGGACCAAATCTCAGGTAACCCATTATTAATGTTGCAAGGTCACCGTAACTCTGTTATTTCTGTGGCTGTTTCGTTGAATTCGGAAGGTACAGAGGGTATTTTTGCCACAGGAAGTGGTGATTGTAAAGCAAGATTATGGAAGTGGACTAGAAAATAAATGACTCACTGCACTAATGTACTTTAAAAGGAAACGTTATATTTAAGTAACGAAAAATGATCAATTGTTAGATAAGATCTGAGTTTTTTTGTTTAAAAATTTGTCCTGTTATTATTGGTTACACGCCTTTCTTTACTAAGTATTTTAATCTTGTATCCCCAATATCCACAGGGAGGACGTTGGCTTTTGTAGGAGTGTATTCTTTAAAGTATGTAAATTGTAATAATATAACTTTAATATATGGAAAAATGGTACGAAGATGTAATTACACAAAGAAAAAAATAATACACGTCCAGAAATTTATTTCAACGAAGATTGACAGCATAATATACCATTTAGCTTGCAACACACCACAATGACCGTCTACACTGCATCGGCCACGGCACCTGTAAACATTGCTGTATGTGTACAATGTTTGAATCGTAATTTAAAAATTGGAGGTTCGATACTAACTTAACGCAGACATTAAAGTATTGGGGAAAGAGAGATAAGTCTTTGAATTTACCAACTAATTCATCAATTTCTGTCACCTTATCACAAAATGATTTAAGAACATTGACATCTGTTGCAGCTTCAGAAGATTTCAAGGAAGATAAGTTATGGTTAAATGGGAAATTAGAATCTTTAGAATCAGAAAGAACCAAAGCTTGTTTAGCCGACTTAAGATCCTTGAGACAAGAATTGGAATCCAAAGATTCATCTATACCCAAATTAAGTCAGTTTGGCTTACACATTGTTTCAGAGAACAACTTTCCCACCGCAGCAGGATTAGCTTCCTCGGCAGCAGGTTTCGCCGCATTGGTTGTTTCTATTGCAAAATTGTATCAATTACCACAAAATATGTCCGAGATCTCTAAAATTGCAAGAAAGGGATCAGGTTCAGCATGCCGTTCACTTTTTGGTGGGTATGTCGCCTGGGAAATGGGCCAAGAAACAAACGGAGAAGATTCGAAGGCAGTAGAAGTTGCACCATTGAGCCACTGGCCAAACATGAAGGCTGCGATTTTAGTCGTCAGTGATGATAAGAAGGATACCCCTTCCACCTCAGGTATGCAAACTACAGTTGCTACTTCTGACCTATTCCAATGGAGAATCAAAGAAGTTGTTCCAAAAAGATTTGATGAAATGAAAGAGTCTATTTTACGTAAAGATTTTGCTACTTTTGGTGATTTAACAATGAAAGATTCCAATTCATTCCATGCTGTATGTTTGGATTCAACTCCTCCAATTTTTTACTTGAATGATACTTCTAAGAAGATTATTAAATTAATCCACGAATTAAACAAGAGAGAAGGTAAGATTATCGCTGCTTACACATTTGATGCTGGCCCAAATGCTGTCATCTATTATGAACAAGAAAATGAGCTGAAGGTATTAGGACTTATTTACAAATACTTCAATAAAGTTAATGGTTGGGAAAAGCTTGATACTAAAACCTTAGATACCTCTTCGGATATTCAAGCAGATCCTGAATTATATAAGGGTGTTTCTAAAATTATTTTAACTGAAGTGGGCCAAGGCCCTCAAGATTCTACAGAAAGCTTGATTAATGATAAAGGGTTACCAAAAGCTGTAGCTAATTAGAATGTATCTGATATTAATATATATAAATCATAACCTGTAAAAAGAACATGTAAAAAGTAAACAGATTGTTTTAATGAACTCCAGGAATATTGGTTTAACTCTTCTGTTACATTGAAGACTTCTTTAAGAAACAAGGTTGTATAGTCCTTATCTAGGACTTGTCCTGAAAATTAATATTAATTAAGCATAGAAGATATTTCCAAAATGAGTTTGCGATTGTATAATTACCAAGGAATCTTTAAATCCATAGTACATGCTAGATCTACGATTTACAAAGGACCCAGTCTTAAACTTCCCGCAAGAGCCTTAGCTACTCCACTCAGTCACAGTAAGCTTCAATTTCATACGTTTTCCCGTATACTAAATGTAACTAAAAAAACAAATTTAGATGATCAAGAAAAATTGACAAAACCTACGTCAAAGCCATTACCACCATTAGAACCCTTAAGTCCACTTCAACCATTATTACGTGAAAATATTTATACGATACCCAACATGCTAACGGCTACAAGAATAATTACTGCTCCAGCAATAGGATATTTTTTAATAAATCAACAATCTGGGTTGGCAATATCAATTTTTGTATATTCATGTGTAACTGATTTTGTTGACGGATACATTGCCAGGAAATATAACATGAAATCAATTATTGGATCAATATTGGATCCTATGGCTGACAAATTATTAATGACCATATGTACATTATCATTAAGTTATATATCATCCATGCCATTGTACCTTGCATGCTTAATTATTGGAAGAGATGTGTTGTTGAGTTTTATGGCATTCTATTATAGGTACGTAACTTTGCCACCACCAAAGACATTTAAGAGACTTATCAATTTATCTATTCCTACAGTTTCTGTTCATCCCAACTTATTGTCCAAAGTAAACACTGGGTTACAAATGATATATATTGGAAGCTTGGTATTACAACCTGCGATCGAGTCGATAATGGCCGAGAATTGGATCGAACCATTTCATTCAGGCTTGTATGGATTTGAATTATTAGTAGCTACTACAACATTTTTAAGTGGTTGCACGTATATTTTCTCAAAGAAGGCCATAAAACCTGTTAGATAATCCAGCTAATAGACTGATAAAATTTTATCAATTCAACATCATCAAATATTAACAAAAAGGCAAGCAAATATTTTCGATTATCACTACAAATAGGAAGTTCTTTCCCCAATTGTAAATATGCTAAGATTAGATATTTTACTAATCCACTATCAATATTAGTCATTAAATATCTAAACTTGTTATAATCAGCGCTTAACCGATTCCATTTTAAATATTTCGTAGTGAACGTTTCATCCACTATGTCATTGATAGTTCTATTGTAATTTGGTTTGTAATTATCAAAATTGAAGTCGGTCTTTGTTAGGATAACTAACTTGCCGATATTCAATACAAATTCATTGGCAAACCTGTCGAGAGAGATGCCCAACATTTTCATTTTTCGGAGCAATGTTCTATATATCTCAAGAATAAACCGAAATTTGTATTTTATATTTCTACTCTCTTTGACTTCAAATGCAACTATCAGTAACAAGCATTCATCTAATTCAATAAATATGTAACTCCAAGTAAGAGCAGAACTCTGGCTGCGACAAAACCTCATCCTCCGAAATAATGATTCGGGAATATTCTGAAGTATTTGACTAATCAATTTAATCAAATACAAGTTCTTAATCAGATCATCCCATGCAATTAAATATTTTAATGCCATTAGTAATTCTCGTATTTCTCTAGGAGAATACTCTCTCGTTACAAGACTACGAACATTTATCGAATCTATAAACGCCTTATTTGCATTAATTGCGTAGTCTATATTAAGTAAATCTAGTATAAATGCAAGCCCCTTTCCATTTGGTTTAGGTTTCCGTCTTTTTTTTCCTAGAATGATATTACGAATCACATCTGGCGGTTAGCTAGTACCCTGAAAATATCAAATAAAAAACAACGTACAATCAACAGAATGGACATTACCCATCCTCCTCTTATGCCTTATCAAAGATATGGCTAAAGGTAGGTCAATTTCAGCCATTTTGATAGTGATGAACATTGATAACTACCTGGCGTCTATTTCACAGCCATTTGTTTAACTCATTCGCAGACGTGTAGTTACCGAGTATCGTAGAAATTATTATCAATAAAGATATGTCTCAGAAATTACTTCAACTTGTAGTATGTGATATACAAAATAATTATATAATAATGAATATTAATACAAAATATTATGCTGCATACATAGGCGATCTAGCTATGTATACCAGTTATAATATTGATTTTGATAACTTAGATGATTTAGAAATTAAGTGTGTTAAACATGGTATTTTAGTAAATACTGAATTTGCTTGTTTTATCCGTAAAGAGTATCTGGGTAGAGATAAATTTAATTTTCTTAAACATTATGTTTCAAGAATTATTTGTTTTGATCAAATTAAAAAAGAATCAGAAATGAAATTTTATAAACCATTTTATTTGTGGATAAAGCCGGTTCCTAATTCTAATACTTTTAAGCATTTATTGGATAATTATAATCATTTAAAATATAATGTAGGTAAAGCATTAATTATGTATGCAGATGATGATAATAAGTTTAATAAAATATACTTTGAATATGATTTTGAGCCAGAATTAGAATTATTTAGAAGTGCAGCACTATCATGCAATGAAGAAATTTATAATGATCAATTACAAAAAGCTAAAAAATTAGGATACTTTTATATATATTTAGATATGGAAAATGAAGTCGTCCTAGAAGAACCTAAGAAAATTGATTCTAACAATGTTGATATTAAAATGGAGTTTGATGTAAATATATATGAATTTTTAAAAGTAGATTTTGTTACAAATAATATAAATTTACCAGAATTTGATTCTAGTAGATTAGATATATTCTCAGAAGACTATGAAGAATATGAAAATTATACTAATTTTTAAAATACTTTTTAGAAACATTTTCAAATGTTTCAGAAATTACTTATTTATTATTTTTTACAACCTTTAAAAGCATCATTAACTTTTTTATAATATTTAAAACTATTAATTAATTTAAATCTTCCATCTTTATTAATTTCAAAAGTTTTGCCAATAGAACTTAAAGTTTTACCTAATTTTATTTCACTTCCAATAGCACCAAATATAGATAAAAGATCTAATGGACTGAAATCACCTGTCACACCCCATCCAACAATTGTTGTTAATACATCAATAATAGCTCCAGTAACTCCTAATGAGGCAGTTAACATACCCACAATAGTAGTTACAATAGTGAATATCATCATTTTTCTTTCTTTTTCTTCAATTTGTCTAAGTTTCTTACCTTGATCATTCATTGCTTTCATATTTTCTGTTACTGATGCAAATACAGTTAATGGCATTAATGCTTCTAATATATCAGACGGATTTTCAGTACCTAGTTCTTTTTTTATCTTGATTTATAAGTTTTTGCATAGTATCCAAATAATCATCAGTCATATTTTTCATAGGATCAGGAATAATATTAACTGCTTTTGGTATTATTGATTTATCATCGAAACAGCATGAGTATTTACCATTCCACCTGTATTAATATTAGACCAACTATCAATTTCAAAATCTTTGCTTTCAAGTGTCATATCAAATTTTTTAGAGCAAAATTGAGCCACACTTTTCTTATCTTTATCTTTTACATCTTTAAAAAGTACTAATCCTACTCCCGGAAATTTAGCTTTTCTTCATGATTATATTTTTCCTGATCCCAATGTTCTTTGTCACATTTATTTTCTAGAAAGTATTTTTATAGTTTATAAAAGTCCTTAAAATTACCATTGTAAGCATAAATGTGTATTAAATAAATTATATTCTTTATTTTGAATTCATAATTAGTTTTTAATAGATATTCATGCATATTTGATTATTATGTATTATAAATTAAATATGACTTTTTGTTATTCTTTATTTTTGCTGATAAATGTGATGGACGTATTCTTCCTTTTGAATCACATTCTTTTATCAATTTCATATTTTAACTTCAATATACTTTTGAAATATCTTTCCTTTCTATATTATTCATAATTGTGCCAATATTCAATGGATAGTAAGCAATATGACGCCTATATACTTGAAAATCATACCCTCCCTACCATTAATGCTTGTCTCAAGCAAAGTTTCTAAATTTATAGATTTCCGTATTTGTGACTTTATCCTAAACCGGTTTGCTCAAGAAACTTGTCAAAATAGTTCTATTCCGTCTACTAGCCTCTAGTAAATACTTCAGCTCTATCAATTCATTCTTCCTTTTTACTTCTGTTTCCAACCTAAGTTTGTTTTGATCTTTCTGTAGCAATTTTATGGCGCATCCTCACCCATATCCTACGTCTAATAAAATTACCAAACCGATACTTCCCTTTCCAATGCGTGCTGCTAAACATCATCAATGAATATAGCCACCCCTGAGCATCTACATCGTTCACCATCAATAAGTACCACTTATCCCACGTCCATTCCCAATCCATATCGGGCAATGGAAAGTTGCTAATATTGTTATACGTGAGAGATATGGTCCTCCCATCCAACAGCTGATATGTTGGAGGATCTATGAACGGTAATAGCGTCTTATTCGAGAATAGGGGAATTCCAAAGAGCTTGGTTCCTCGCTGGTTTTCAATGACGAAGTCAAATCGATAGTCATCGCTCTGGTATTCGTAACTGTCCAATGCTTTGAGTAATCGTCCCGTTTTTACGTTAGCATGCTTAAGCAAATCCCGTAACTCATTATATTGAGGAAAATACTTGTATTTATCCTTTATATCATCCATAGACTCTGAGTTCTTGTTGTCTTAGAATCAACAACTGTGGTGCACAAATGGTATTAATACTGTGGAATACCAATATGCAGTACACACAAAAATCTTATCTAAGGTAGTTTTAGTAATAATGGAAAATATTACTAACATAAATACTAGAATAGTCACTATGAATTACTCAAAGAGCGGAGGGTACGACCAGGTACCACCAGTTCTTGACCAGTTCAAGGTCCAAAATATTGAAAATTTGGATTTTCCTATAGTGACGGGTGAGCTTAATGGGAATGTGGTCCAAACTCGTAACATCCAGCCTAATATAGATGCAAGATTACCAGTTCAAGCAGAATCAACAATTTCAATGCAAACAGAGACAGTAGATGATGGTAGCATATCGATAGCAAACGTTAGTAATGGTAGCCATTCGGCAGAGGTCCCAAATAAAGGCCATGTATTTGAATATCATGACCCATTTGATATCCATTCATATCCAATAACGAATCCGCCAATTTTTGACTCTACCATGATGCTTCCATATACGTCAAATGAAGGGATTCCCAGAAGGAGAAGAATATCTATATCTAACGGTCAGATCGGGCAGATTATAAATCACGAGTTTTACTTGGATAACGAGAGTCTGCTCGATGAGGATTTGAATGGGCCAAGACTGAATGACCAACCACTATCAAAGGATGATACTATGTTGAATGATGCTCATCCACACCAGAATAGGGCTCCGGTGCGACCAGGATCAACCGAGCAGTTTCTGCAAATCCAACAACCCCAAATGCCACAGAAGGACATGATACCTCAGCGTCCCGTAAAAGCAGCCCTTGATATACCACTGGGGCAACAACAGAGAATGTATAGAGAGAACCAACTGAAGTCCGAAATACATAGAACCCCAAAAGATCCGCCTGCGGGTGTTCCTCCACCAAACCATCAATTAATATACAACAATGAGGTGATCTACAATCCTAATAACGGGCCCATTCCTGGGACAGCAGCTTGGAAAAAAGAAAGACTATTGGAGCGTAACAGACTTGCAGCTTCTAAGTGTAGGCAACGAAAAAAGCATGCACAGCAACAGCTTCAGAATAACGTATCCAAATATCAGAAAGACGTTGATGTGCTCAAAGATAAACTAAATAAATATGAGAAAGTTTTCAAAAACTACAATTTAATAATTTCCAAACATGTCGACAAATTTCCTGACTCCGACCTAAAGACACTATCAAAGTTCAGTGATATCGATGCAATAACTGAAAAAGATCTTGATGTTATTTCCAAACTTGCCGGTAGCTGAGCATTATTTGGAGTCAGTGTTTCCATATGCGATTTTCAAATTTTAGAAAGTAAATTCAAACTCTGTATCAAATATTAATATAACGAGTCTATCCATACTATATTCTCTATATATAAGGTACTTCTTAAAGAAAGTTTACTCTATTCAATGTAATCTTTGAATGTACAGCTGCTTATATAATAATTACACAAAAATGCGGCTTGAGATTTTGGTTGATCAAAAAATTCATCAAAAGGGCAAATCAACAAGAATACTTTTCATTTAAACCGTGTTTATCGAAGAATAATGTCGCTTAAATTACCTCAAGCCCCAAATTCTGGGTTATTTAAGCAAGGATACCAATCGCACACTAGTGCTGATGGGGTGATCATAAGAAATATTGAAGCAGTTCGAGAAATATCATCGATTTTATTAACATCGATGGGACCAAGTGGTAGAAATAAAATCATCATTAATCAGTTAGGAAAGATTTTCATAACAAATGATGCTGCCACCATGCTCAATGAGTTAGAAATTGTACACCCTGCAGTGAAAATTTTGATTATGGCTTCCAAGCAACAAGAGTTTGAGATGGGTGACAATACCAACTTAGTTATCATTTTAGCAGGGGAATTCTTGAACATTGCTGAAAAATTACTCAATTTAGGGTTAAGTGTTACTGAAATCATGCAAGGTTATAATTTGGCAAATAAGTTTGTCATGGACAAGTTAGAATCATTAGTTGTTAGTAATGTTGAGTCGATCACTGAAACAAGTGAATTGTTGAAGGTCATTAAACCTGTCATTTCAGCTAAACAATATGGGTCCGAAGACTTAATTTCAAAATTAGTGATTGATGCAGTAAAGGTTGTCATAAACCCAAAGAAACCACAAAATTTCAATATTGACTCTATCAGAGTAGTGAAAATTATGGGTTCCAGTTTAGCTAATTCTGAAGTTGTCAAGGGTATGGTTTTCCCAAGAGAACCAGAAGGACATATTAAAAATATCAATACCAAGTCGAAGGTAGTTGTTTTCACTTGTCCTATCGATATTTCTACTACAGAAACCAAGGGTACCGTGTTGTTACATAACGCTAAAGAAATGCTTGACTTCAGTAAAGGTGAAGAACAGCAATTAGACCAGATGTGTAAGGAGATTTCAGATTCTGGTGTCAAGGTTGTTGTAGCAGGTGCAAATATTGGCGAATTGGCCTTACATTATTTTAATAAGTATGGTATTTTGGTCTTAAGAGTCCCATCAAAATTCGACTTAAGAAGAATCTGTCAAGTATGTGGTGCCACTCCGTTACCAAGATTAGGTGCCCCAATGCCAGATGAAATGGGTGTTGTTGACGTGATTGAAACTAAAGAAATTGGTGGTGATAGAGTTACAATTTTCAGACAGGATGAATCTATTTCAAGAACTTCTACTATTATACTTAGAGGTGCTACCCACAATAGTCTTGATGATATCGAAAGGGCCATTGATGATGGTGTCAATGCAATCAAGGGATTATTGAGGGATAATAGATTATTACCAGGCGCAGGTGCTATCGAAATTGAATTGATTAAATTAATTACACAATATGGTGAGAAAACACCTGGTTTGATGCAATTAGCTATTAAACATTACGCTAAGGCTTTCGAAGTCATCCCAAGAGTTTTAGCTGAGACTTCAGGCTTAGACTCCTCTGAATTATTAAGTAAATTGTACGCTGCTCATGCTGCAGAAGATGGCAAAGGTATAAACATCGGTATTGATATTGATAATGATTCGGATGATGGATTATTGGATGTCAAAGAGCACGGTATACTTGATTTACTCTCTGCCAAAAGGTCAGCCATTGACTTGGCAACCGACGCTACAAATACAATCTTATCCATTGATCAAATTATTATGGCCAAGAGAGCAGGTGGCCCACAAATGCCTAAACAACCAAGACCTGGTAATTGGGATCAAGCTGATTAATTTAAAAAATTTTAAAGTTTTGGTCTAAATTGTGTTTATATATACCTATTTCATAGATCACGTAAATAATATAAATCTGTTCAAATGATATGTTTATCAGATTTAGTTAGTAGTTAAGATAGTCTCAACTACATGGCACATTTTTGTCTATTTAATATACAATAATCGCTTAATGCTTCAGTCAACGCATCTGGAAAGTTCTAGACATACTTGTTGCAATTAATCTTCCTTGACAGCTCTTATAAAACCCTCAACTTTCGTTAAATCTTTATTTCCATCTTCATCTTCAACACCACCGCTCACATCAAATCCTATCACATTGTTGATCTCAAACGCACTTCGGACGTTAGCAGGATTTAAACCTCCTGCTAAGATAAATTTACCATTTTGCAAGTCATCGACTGTTTTCCAATCAATAGTTTTACCTTCTCCCCCTAATTCAGAGTCTAATAATGGTAGAGCAAATCCATTTCCAGCATATACATTATCCCTGATAGTTTCTGTAAAGAGCTTGTCCATCACATCTATATCTTTCGGGATCACAAATCTTGGAATGATCCCGTATTTACATGATTCTTCCAGGGAATTGTATTGACAGAATTTTTCTTTGTCCTCATTCCCATGAAGCTGTATAAAGTCTAGACTAAGCTCCTTTGCAATCTTAAATACATCCGAAATATCTTGGTTTCTGAAAACACCGACTAAGAACGGTCCATTATCTATTATTAATTGCTTGAAAGAATCAAAGTATTGATCACAGTTCTCAAATGACTGTTTCTCTAGATGCTTCAATATAGAATTTACAGTTTTGAATTGAGTATTTTTTGTCTTTCTCTTATCACTAGCCAAAAGTGAAATCTTTTTGGCTACATCATGATCAATGGTCCTCTTTCTATTTGGTACCAAAATTACACCAAGTAAATCAACACCCGATTCAATAGCACAACTTGCTGCCTCTTCAGTCCTAATACCGCATATTTTAACTAATCTTGACATAATGCTATATAATGAATACTACTTACTAGAAGATCATGACAAATCTTTTGATATTATACCGAATAATCACGTGATATACAATTAATTGTTTTTTATTGATTATATTAAGCTATAAAGCCAGGCATTATTCATTACTATTACTATTATCTTTCCTGAAAAACTTCCCAAAGTTCTTGAATTTATTAACATGCGTCTCTCCTGTTAACGCAAAATCACGTAAATTTTTCTCAAAGTTATTAATTTTCAAATTATTCTGAAAGTTTGCATTCAATAATTTGGGAGATTTAGCCTCAGGCTCAGGGGACTTCATTGTAGGAGTAGGTGTCGAATTGTTACTATTTACACTTGGTGTATCATCCTGTATAACGCCCAATATAGGGGACTCCTCCATTAAAGTATTCTGATATGATATCTGTAGATTGAATATTTCAACGTACTTAAACCTCTGGGCAGGGTCAATACTTTTAAGTTTCAAAAACTTGACGAAATTAGAAGTTGATTTGTCGCCGATAATTTGAAAATAGTTCATGATTAAATTATCAATAGGGAGTGTTGGAGTTAAAAGCAATTTCAAAACAGTATCAAGCTTATTAAATTGAATTTCAACATGCTTAGTATACGTCTTTAAATTAATATTTGAATGCTCTTCCTTGTTAGATGCATCAAAACTTGGATTCGAATATAATGGTAAATCAAGCATAAGCTTTTTCAAATTTTGTATATCAGACATGATCTGCTCAACATTAATAATGCTTAATGGTGTAACTAACTTCAAATTGTTCAAATATGAATAAGTAATCAATTCGGTTAGTTTGTCACAAAAATTTCTTATATATCCCTCTCTTATAATTAAAGGTAATATCAAAGTGCAGTTATTTATTAAACTTTGCTTATAGTCAATCATGTAGTTGGAAATTTCAACAGTTTGCTCCATATTATTCCAGTTATTGTTAGTGAATTGTCTCCATGAAAATTGCAAATCATTGGATATTTTAAGCAATAATGTCTGAATTGATTTATTAATTAATTCAATGAAAACATCTTTAATTGTTTCGAAAGAAATTTTCGGTTTAAAGGGTTCATCGATTAGATTAATGAATCTATCTTGAAGATCATTTATATTATTCAAAATATAATCCCCTGTATTCAAAATCATAGTGAGATATTTAATAGGCTCAATACCATTGAGGTTTTCGTTATTATTTGGTATCATTGGAAGAAGAATTTTGTTGTTAAATTCGTTTAAATATTTCACAAATAATTTTGATAAATCAATTAAAATTGAACCAGAGCTTAATTTTATGATCAATGACAAAATTTTCTGAAATGTCTTGAATAATTCAATAGATGAGTTGGATATGTTTGGAACGTTATTAATTTTTAAAACATTAATAAAATCTTCATGACTTTGTACATTAGAATATTCAGTAGGTATTTGACTAACTGAGTAGAATTCTAAAAACTTAGAATGTAACAATTTATCCTGTTCGTTGATCCAAATAGACAAATATGGTTCGAAAACCTTCAGTATGATTTGATTAAACTCTTGTGTCTTAAAGATATTATTTAAGTTTTTCTCAAAATCTAAAGTTTTAGTCAATGCATCAAGGAGATTATTTGAAGGTATGGAGTTATTCAATTGTGACGTTAAATCTTGTTTGGTGATAGTGCAAAAGATTTTGCTTAATTCTAGATCAATACACCAATCTTTAGGAAACATATCCATGTAATTCAGATGAATGTTTGCCAATGTATTATTGAAGTACATATATCTTCTGTTAATGTTTTCCAAAGATCCTGCTTCATCGAAGTTGTTGAATATAGACTTAATATCTTTGAGCTGTAAGTTATAGAACCAGTTGAGTAATTTATCCTTGTACTTAGAATCGATCAATTCCAAGATCTCACAACCATGAAATAATTGATCATTGTCCAATTTATTTACTATAGTATCTTCAAAATCAATGAAAATATCATCTACCAATTTGTTTTGCGTTTTCAGAATATTCAAATTCAACTGGTTAATTTCATCAATTGATCTATACGGCTTGAAATAAGTTAATAATTCCTTAACAACACTAAGCAATTGCAAAATATCCTTATAATGCTTACTAGAAATTATAGAATTCAATGTCTTGTTGGCATCTATTAACATCTGCAACCTTTTCAAAATGGTCATCAGTAGAACTAAATTCTTCTTACATTTGTCCAATTCTTGTATTGAGGACGTCATTGAAACAATCGAGCCTTGCGTTTCCGCTGACTTGGCCTTAATCTTCTTTATATTATCTATTAATTCTTTTGTGTCTTCATTTAATGCTATTGGAGAGTTGTATTGAGTTACATCATGTTGTATTTGTTTATTTAATTGAAACTTGTATGCATTTAAATAGGCTAAAAGCTCTGGTATTTCTTCAATAGATCCAGACTTCTCCAATATCTGATTCAAATGATCCGTTGGGTTATAATCAAACGAGTTCATTGTGATTAATGAGTCTAAGATTATTAACTATGTTGGCTTCACCTCTGTTGATATCCCTCCACAATTTTGTGTTACATTTTTCTGATCTATTTTTGCATTCCAACTCTATGATAACGTAGTACAACAAACCTTTGAAACAAATAAGATAATCAAATCTTCGATATATATAACAGTGGTATGATCACTTGAGAAATCCAGTACATACATATCAAAATATAAAGTAGGAAATCATTTATATGAGTAATTCACCAAATTTGTACTTCCCGATGGTGGATGGAATACCACAGTCAAGGACATTGAAGCTTTCAAAGCACGTACCATGGTACTATTATAGAATTAGATCACATTTCGGAGGTGAACATTAGTCTATTCGTAAAATTTGGGTCGTATCATTCGTAAACTTAGATTTCATATACATCATTAACAAAATATTCTATATAGCTATTACAATACCTGTCCAATAATAAGGACATCTTATTCCTCTTTAACATTAGTAATATTCTACTTAGCAAAGAATTTACCTCGGTGTAATTTAAATTGGTTAACTTTGCAAGTTGATCTATTGATTCTATTATCATTACAAAATCACTCGTTTGGCTAGATATCAACTGTTGCAAATCCTGTAAGCTATTAGCCTTATGATAATGGAACGATTTCATAACACTTTCATTATTTTTGAATTGTATTGGTAAAGTGTCTATCATATTAAATAAGTCGGTGGGTATGGTGCAATTTACATACACTATGTTATATGACTGCAAGGCGGTATCTTGGTCAATTAATTTGATACAATGTTCAATGCATTTCTTTATATCTGTGTTGTAAACGTATACTAATCCAGACTTGGGCGCCATCTGGGCTCTTAGACTTTAAGGTTTAATGAACCGTCGATTTCACACACCACAGGTTCTATATGCTAGAAGAGATCGTTAAGACCAATATTGGACCTTTTGTTAATGTCTTAAACAACACTAACCAATGTAGGGATGTTGTAGGATAAAAGAGAAGGTCAGATAAACAATATCGGTTCTCACCAGACATATGAGTCAAATGTCCACAGTGCAAATATTCGTAAGAGTTAGTTCCGTTCTCAAAACAAGAAGATACAGAAATATGCTCCAAAATATCACATAACATCTTTCATACAAGTCAAATATCACCTTTCATAAAAGTCAAAATACCTCTAGTTCCTGACCCACATATACTACACGCAAAACTCGTTTACTATTCAATTTTGTATTACTTACAGAATAATAATATATAAAACATAACCATCACTCGACTAAATAATTATGATATATTAGAAATATTTGCCCAAACGTTATTTAATGTAACAAGTTAACTGTACTTAATCTCTAATAACCGAATGAAGCTAATTGCTTAGCAGCATCAGATTCGGCGGTGGCAGCTCTGGCAGCGTTGACCTTCTTGGCTAAAGCCTTCTTCTTAGCGTAGTATTCAGCGTTTTGTAACTTTCTCTTTTCTTCTAACTTATCAACAACAGATTCGTATTTCCAACCAACGGCAGATGATAATTTACCAACGGTGGTGTATTTTCTACCTGGCTTCAATCTCAAGACTCTTAAAGCTTGTGGAACGACAACTCTCTTCTTCTTGTCGTATGGTGGTGGAACACCTTCGAAAACCTTAAGTCTTTCTAAGGCAGCCTTACCTCTAGCAGTCTTGTGAGGCATCATACCTCTGATAGCTTTGTAGAAAATTCTGGATGGGGCTCTGAAGTGGAATGGTCCCTTGGTCTTGTTATATCTGGTAGCCTTTCTTAAGTAATCGTGGTACTTCAACTTATTTCTGAAAAATTCACCGGAGATGTTCATGGCTTCACATCTAACGACGGTAATTTTTTGTCCATTTAATAATTGCTTAGCAACAATAGAAGCTAAACGTCCTAATAAATGGCCCTTACCATCAATAACAACAACTGGTTCAAAAGTAGACATCTTTAATGAAGTTTAAGTTGTACACTTGCTTTAGGATTCAACAATTCTTCTTAAAATATTTTAACAAGCTTTTTTTTCACTATACTAGGTATTGTCCAGAGAGCGGTGAGCGGGATGGCCTGGAAAAAAAATTGAAAATTGGTCGAAAAAAATATCACGTGCGAATTTCTGAAAGTGAAAAATTCATTAGCAGTCACACTCAGGTGGATGATGGGCAATAGCCCTGGGAAGTGCTACATTATGCCTCCTTTAGAAATAGACTACTTACATTTAGAGATGCATTAAGAGATGATTTTAGAGATAAGAAAATGTTGTTTAAAGAGACAAAAGATTTACATACCTATAATGCTGGAGACATTATTGGATTTCACAAATATGCTTACTACGGGGATGTAAGAAGGTTCAAAATGGTAGCAACCTCCACGTTAATTGAAGAATATATAGAGTCGATCTACTATTGTATCAACTATGGATGTAGGAGAAATATTGAGTTTGCGGAGTTTGTTTTAGATGAGATCGAATTTGTTGACAATAAATATAAAATGAGTATTACTGCGACGTATATAAGGAACGGAAAGTACGACTCTAGGTTGTATTTAAAGAAGTTTGATTATTCCTTGTACAGAAACATAGCCAAAGACGATGTGAAGCATTTATTGAAATATGAAGAATTGCATGATATATTGTGTTTTATTTCTGCTTTGAATTCATTCGAGTTAATAATCAGTCCCAGTTATTTGCATCCGATAAATAAGTTGAAATACTTCTATAATTTGCCTGATGATAGTGAATCAAAAAAGATTACAGATTTCTGGAGTTTTGTTTTATCTCCCACTAGATATACATTAGGAGGATTAGACATTTATTCCTTTACTATTCCGCCAGGTGATTATGCAAATATCTGTAATATTGAAAGAGAATTATTGTTTGCTTATTTAAATCGTGGCCACAAGGAAAACGAAGTTCTTACACCTTTAACTGAAGTCAACATAATGAATGATGTCAGGTTTGCTATAGAGTCATATTCAAAAAATCATCTCATGGATTACTGTTTGAGTAAATTTGTCATTATTTCACCTTCACTTTCATTAGAATTAGTGAAGAAACATAAACCATTTTTAGTTTTCGGCAATTCCTATAATGACTTCAATTACCTTGACAAATACATTGAAATTAACCCTTTGTATAGACATAATTTTATTTACAGTGGTATAATGTATCATTGTATTGATATTAGACAATATATTGGAGATGATATAGATTATTGTTACATTGAAGCATGCATAAAATCTTGCAATCCTTCCGTTCTTTTGTTACTAAAGAAAATGAACAAAAAATGTTATAAAAGATTAGATTATGCTAACAACAAATATATTGAAGAACTGGATGAAATTGAAGTTGATTATGATGAAATATCTAAGAAATTGAGACTCGATGTGTCTTCATATAAGTTTATCTCATAATATTTAGTTTCAGTTGTCAATTTTTCCTTTGAAACTTCAAATTATAAGAATTTAGATGCGTCTACATGAATTGATTAATTCTCCACTCAATAAATACGTCTTAAATACATGCTCGTTCTTAGCGGCGTTAAAGCTTAATTCCTCAAGTAGGGTGATACTTATTTGGGTCGTCCCACCATTATATAATTATCTCTGTCCTAAATCATACCACATATTACTTATTTTTTTTTTTGAAATAGATTGAACTTTAGTCATTGTACATTTGCTTTAAATGATTTACATTTCTCGTATAATCTATATCTTCACAGCTCATAAGTGGATCTCTAATATATCTTTGTTTGTTCTTATTATTCTACTACTGCTTTATCATTAAATTGCAAAGTTCATGTTTTGCACTAGTTCTACTATAGGGATGTTTTCCAATCCACCAATTTTTAGTTTGCCACTTTCGTCAGTCTTTGACCTTCCAAACAATAGTGTAGAGCGGATAGGAAATTCAGGTGCAAATATGTATTACAAGTGTTTTTTAAAGAACACTAATGAGTGCTAAGTTGTATTAGTTTTGTATATATAAGAGACTCAATAATTCTGTACGGCAGGCGAAACAGGTGCATCCGGTAGTTATACAGGAATTTCCTTTGATTCTATTAAAGAGTTAACCACAGAAAGAATGGCTTGGATGGAAGCTTCAGACACGTCGGAATGGATACCACAACCCCATTGAGAGACTCTTTCACCGTTCTTGTTGAGGTAACTCAATTCAATGTAGGTTGCAGCCTTGCCTTGACTTCCAGAGCCGAGTAAATGTTCTGAGTAGTTGACAACCTCGAATAAGGTGCCGAACTTGTTTGAAATAGCATCGATGAAGGCGGAAATTGGACCGTTACCTTGACCAGCGATGTTTACAGGATTGCCGTGGACACGAATGGAAGCGTTGATTTCACGGTTGTTCTTGGAAGAAGGTGAAGCTGGCTTTGGAATATCAAAGTCCTCGAGTACGATTGGGGACTTTTCATGGGACATGTATTTCTCTTTGAATAAATCATTGATTTCGTCGGTTAACAATTCTCTTCCGAGTCTATCAGCCTTCTCTTGAACGATACTTGAAAATGCTACTTGGAGTTGTCTTGGAAGGTCAAGACCTAAAGATCTTAAGATGACCCATGCTGCACCACCCTTACCAGATTGAGAGTTGACTCTGATGACAGCTTCGTATGTTCTACCGATATCTTTTGGATCTAATGGTAAGTAAGGAATAGCCCATTTTGTGTCTCCTCTGGCAACTCTTTCTTCAGCCTTTGCGAATCCCTTCTTGATGGCATCTTGGTGGGATCCGGAGAATGCACAAACAACTAAAGAACCACCGTATGGAGCTCTTGGATGAACTTGGATCTTATTACATCTTTCGGTAACTTCAATGACGGACTCAAGGTCAGAGAAATCCAAGTTTGGTGCAACACCTTGGGTGTACATATTCAATGCAACAGTAACTAAATCGACGTTACCGGTACGTTCACCACTACCGAATAAACAACCTTCAACTCTATCAGCACCGGCCATCAAACCTAATTCAGCAGCAGCAACACCACATCCTCTATCATTGTGAGGGTGTACAGAAACACAGATCTTTTCACGTTCACTAATATTGTTACAGAAGTATTCGATTTGATCAGCATAAATGTTTGGGGAGGCAACTTCGACGGTTGCGGGCAAGTTAAAGATAATTGGGTTTTCAACAGTTGGTTCCCATGTATTCTTAACGGCTTCACATATCTCCACAGCAAATTCAGTTGGGGTATCAGAGAAACATTCTGGAGAAAATTCTAAGGACCATTCAGTTTCTTGCGCAGTTGGATCGTCTTTGGTCAACGATTTCACTAACTTAGTGATTTCAATTGCCTTACTAATAGCCTCTTCTTGTGACATATTGAATACAACATCACGGAAAACGTCAGAGGTGGCTAAATAAATGTGGATTGTAGCCTTTTTAGCACCCTTGACTGATTCAACAGTTCTTCTAACTAATGGTTCTCTAGACTGAGTCAAAACCTGAATAGAAACATCCTCAGGTGCATTTTCGACGGCGTATCTGGTAAAATCAAAATCAGTTTGAGAAGCTGAAGGAAATGAAACCTCTATTTCTTTGAATCCAATCTCAAGTAATTTATGAAAATATTCTTTCTTTTCTGCGATCGACATAGGATCTGGTAATGCTTGATTACCATCTCTAAGATCAGTAGATAACCATCTTGGAGCCTTGGTAATCGCCTTGTTAGGCCAAGTTCTGTTAGGTAAAGCAACACCTTTAAAAGCTGTATACTTTTGACTTGGGTCCTTAAGCATATTCGCATATGGCTTCGCAGCAGATGCTGCTTTCTGAAAAAGTGTAGCAGTTTGTTTAAACATAGTCTTGTTTCCAGTATTTCTGCTTTCTTTTTTTTGAACTTATGCTTTTAATAAATGCGATGACTGAATCAACAAGTAACAATCCATAGAAATAATAAAACGTAATGGAACCACTATGACTAAGGAAGAATGAATTGGGCGATTCTCTCTCCGGTACCGGAGCATTCTTTCGTCACGTGTATAGCCTCTTTTTACCGTTGGAGTTATTCCCTCCGCAGTTGCAGATTTCTTCTATGTACCTAGAGAGGTTCTAATACCACTTCGGCCTATATATCAGAGTGTGCTTTTAGCTCGTACATCCTAGTGTGATGCATCACAGAAGTAATTGGCACATTGATCCTGAAAACTATAATTTCTCATATGCCCCTTGTAGTGCACTATCCGACTTGCTGCAAAATTTTACACATTAATAAAAGCCAGCTTATATTGGTGTGCAAGGTAATAACGGACAACATTTTTGTTACAATTCGGATGTATTTTCTCTCATTTTAATTTTGAGCTGATGAAAAAGCTAGGAAATATCGCATAGCGTAACATTGCGTACCATAAGTGTTTTAGATGCAAATAGAATACATCATTGTCATATGACTAAAGGTCGTATTATTTGTGTGACAGTCTCTTTGTATTGAAGAAGTAAATCTTTCTTATATCCTTTTCGGATCCTACAAAATAAGTATATTTCAGATATTCTTTAAACAGTTCATATAAATCAATTATTTCCAAATTATCGAGAATTTGGGAATTTTAGAGATTAACAAAGTTGGAGTGAAGAAGCTGAAATTAAAATACAGAACAGGTAACTTTAACTTGCAACATATGCACGAAAAGTACATATTCTACATTGTATAGTATTTCAAATATATTATTGTAGATATCAATATAGACAGTTGACCCCAGAAAACATATTAATAGCATATGGGCATCTCTAAAGTCACATGACCTTTTCTTTAATTTTTTTTTTTCAAAATTTTCAAGAGATGCCCTTACAGTATTTAATTCATCGGGATATAAAGTTAATATCTTTTCTTCAATTATCGGCAAAGATTATTACAATTAAAAATATAAATTAATAAATAATGGCTAAATCATCAACTAAATCTGCTAAGGCTGATAAGAAGCAAGTTAAGGCTAAGAAGCAAGAGTCTTCCTCCGAATCCAGCTCCTCTTCATCAGAATCCGAATCCAGTTCCTCTTCTTCAGAATCCGAATCAGACTCTGATTCTTCTGACGAAGAAAAGGAAGATAAGAAGGAATCTTCTGATTCTGACTCCAGTTCTGATTCTGAATCCGAAACTGAAGAAAAGGAAGAAAAGAAGGACGATTCTTCTGATTCTGACTCTTCATCTTCTGATTCTGACTCTTCATCTTCTGATTCTTCATCTTCTGACGAAGAAGAAGAAGCACCAAAGAAGGAAACTAAGAAGGTAGCTAAGAAAGAAACCAAAAAGGAAACCAAGAAAGAAGCTAAGAAGGAAGCATCTTCATCATCATCTTCCGAATCAGACTCTGATTCATCCTCATCCTCATCCTCATCCTCCTCTTCTGATTCTGATTCATCTTCTGATTCCGAATCCGACTCAGACAGTGATGCAGAAGAAGAAGAAAAGGATTCTAAGAAGCGTAAGGTTGAAGAATCTTCTGAAGAAGCTGAAGAATCTGCTGAAGAACCAGTCGCAAAGAAGCCAAAGACTAATGAAGAACCAGCTACTTTATTCGTTGGTAGATTGTCTTGGAGCATCGATGATGAATGGTTAAGAAGAGAATTCGAACCAGTTGGTGGTGTTATTAGCGCTAGAGTTATCATGGAAAGATCCACTGGTAAATCTAGAGGTTACGGTTACGTCGACTTCGATTCTAAGTCTGCTGCAGAAAAGGCATTACAAGAATACCAAGGTAAAGAGCTTGATGGTAGACCAATTAACTTAGACTTGTCTACTGGTAAGCCTCATGCTTCCAACCCAAAAACCGATAGAGCTAAGCAATACGGTGATGTTCCATCTGCTCCATCTGACACTTTATTCGTCGGAAACTTATCTTTCAACGCTGAAAGAGACAGTTTATTCAACACTTTCGGTGAATACGGTACTGTTGTTTCATGCAGAATCCCAACCCACCCTGACACTCAACAACCAAAGGGTTTCGGTTACGTCCAATTTGCATCTGTCGATGAAGCCAAGGCCGCTTTAGAAGCATTGAACGGTGAATACATCGATGGTCGTGCTTGTAGATTAGATTTCTCTACTCCAAGAGACAACAGCAACGCCCCAAGAGGTGGCTTCGGTGGTAACCGTGGTGGCCGTGGTGGTTTCGGTGGTAACGGTGGTAGAGGTGGCTTCGGTGGCCGTGAAAGATCTACTCCTCCAAGATCTGCCCCAAACTCCGCTGAATTCAAGGGTACTAAGAAAACCTTCGATTAATTGCTGCAACATGAAAAATAATCTTGTTAATTTACTGTACACTACACTATACTTTTTCTTCGTTTGATATATCTTTTTGTCTTTTTTTGTTTTATTGCATATTATAACATATAGCTTAATAGTATCATTTAGTACATAAAATAATTTTTAACTATAAGCCTATTGTAGAAAACAGTTCCCTAAAATTAGTCCAATACGTTGTCCGAAATTTCCAACTTGTCTTGGTGCACTAGCTTTCTACTAGTTTCGCTTAGGGCATACCCGGGGTTTTATTTATAGAGTTAACTGGGTTCTACAAAAACTTCAAATACTACAAGAAGTTTTTTTATCAATTCACTTGAATACACTCTACATACTTATCTTAATCTAAGATCTATATAGTCTATTGTTGAACAAATATCGGATCTTCGACCAGTACAATAAAATACATACTGCATATAAGGTCTGTCATTAATATGTCAAAGAACATACTCCCTTTGGGCGGAATATCGGCAGACAATAACAGCATACGCTAATAGAAACTGGAGAAATCAATCAATCTAATAATTGATATATTGTGATTAAGAAAACCAATCCTTTTAAGATAAACAAGTACCGTAACTCGAGACTTTTATATTTATTTTCAGTATTGTATTAAATTAAAAGAAAAGTATTTGTAATAAATTGAACAGCAAGTCCATGCTGTACAAAGGTGAAAGATGAGAAAAGCAGTATCAAAAATAATACCAAATGGGCCTCCCAGGTTCCTACAGAGTGGGTCATTACTATCAGGAGACACAAACTTCAAGTATAAACTCGATTTCAACTCTGTAGATGAGTTTTACATTCTGCTAGCGGATCCCCATAGATCTTGGGTTCCAGGAGACGAGGTATCGGGGCAAATAATATTTATATCCAAAAAGGATCTTGCAAACATAGTAATAACGTTGTCCTTGATAGGGAGTGTGAAGATAAATGCATCATCACATTCTAAATTACGACCAGTTAAAGAACTATTATTTCATCACACAATAAAAATTTACGGAGACGAAAATAGTGCCAATAGTAACGACAACAACGTGGAAGAATTCGGTAATGGATTGTTTAAAGGCGAACATAGATTTCCCTTTATTGTTAAGTTGCCCAACAAGCGAGTATTTACTAGTATTGATTTTGGGAAGGGCTCAATTAAATATTCATTAAAAGCTGCGGTCGGGAATGTATCATCATTTGCAAATGATAGTCCGGCAGTTTCTCCATTGTCGGACAGCAATAACAGCAATAATAATACAACAAAGAATAATTTTATTCTGAAGACCAAAAATTTGAACTTTCATAATTCGGTCTACACGTCCGAAAAGATCATTACTTTGATAAACCCGATAGACGTTTCCAAATTGCCTAGATCCAAACCTAAAAGATTAATTATAAAAGACCCTCGTCTAAGTAAGAAGTTATCCAGAACGCAGTCATCCACATCAACATTGAACACAGTGAATACCTTCAATACCTTGTCCTCGAATAATTCAGACACAACAACAAATGGTGAATTTCATTCGAATAGTAATACACCTGGTAATAGTGCTTCTCACTCGAATTCCAATTCGCCATTGAATGGGCCAGATAAGACTAGACCGCAGGTTATTAAGGTTGCGCTTGAGATTCCTGAAAGGGGTTTTCTTAGAGGAGAATTGATTCCGATAAAACTTAATATTAATCATACAAGAAAAATTCAAGACTTGAATGGCATTATTGTTACCTTTGTTAGAGTTTGTAGACTTAGCAATGGTCATGAGAATATGGTTGAATCGTTCAGAAAAGATTTACAGCAACTGGTTGTTCCATTGTATGTTGACCCAAATACATTTCAATCTGAAATCAATACGAATCTAAGAGTCCCAGCGGATGCATTTCCTACAATTTCAGGGTGCCCTCTAGTTTCATTTCAATATTTCATTGAAGTATTGATTAATCTATCGGGTAAATCTCTAGTTCTAGATAGCAGTAACCACCACAAGCCAAGCATATCTACAGATGAGGCAAATCATTCATTATTGGAAAATCCTTCTAGTGATTTGAAATATAAATTTAACTTCAATTCAAATGCATCCATGAATCACAATGAAAGATCGGGGTTCATCAATACCGATAAATATAAAAGAATGAAAAAATTCCTCCTTTTAACAACTGAAGTAATAATTGGAACTAATCGTCTGAATGAGCGACTAGCATACACTTCTAACGAGCAATCCAATGAGCTAGTAAATGAAAATCTCCATTCTACTTCTCTGACTTCGAGAAAATCATCATCTGTTTCTGGGTCTAATGATTCCCCCTTATTGTTCAATCAAAATGGGTCTACACCACCTTCGCAACAAAGCCATCAACAACCAACAAGCTTTAACCCACTCTCAGAGACTATACCGGCTACTCATTTTTCTACACCACCTTATTTTGAGAGCCAGCAAGATTCACCTTTAAATATTGCTGACACCCCTATTCCAGGCTATGAGGAAGCTTCAAATAATTATCATCATGATTCAAGTTTGGCACCAGTTCAAATGCCAACAAATCAACATTTATCAGAGAAAGAGCAAATGAGAGCACGGGAGGCTAGCTTATTACCATCTGCACCGCCTTTAGATGATGCAGAAGAAGCAGAAACAATCAGCCCAATTGATAGGAATAATGAAATATTAGAAAATATAGAGGAGGTGGGCGAAGAAACGAATCAATTGAATAATGATTCAAATGATAGCACATCGTCGAGACGTTCACATTCATTTGGGTTCTTTAGCTATCAGAATTCTACATCGACAGATACTCCTCCAAACCAAGGGAGTTTAGAAGAAGATGACGATGATGATTTATACCACAGTAACAATAATCTTTTGAATGAAGTTGATATAGATAACGAATCAACTGATTGGGTTCCAAATTATGAAGCTGCTAATCACGATAGGTTATTGCTTGAGAATGATCATGTTAGTACCGGTACTAATATTCATCCAGGTAGAAACGCTAACTCAAGTGCCTGTGGGTCTCAGCAAGATAATTCATCGTAATTAAGAGCGCGCCATGAATAGAGTTATGATACAGAGTGTCCATATTTTCCATATTTATACGGATTATGATACGAAACTGTCAATAGACATCACAGTTTATGTACAAAACAGTAAAGAGCAGGTATTTATCTGCTCAAGTGTGTAAATATAAAAATAAACATGATATTTAATTCCTATAATATTAATATAGTATGGGGTAATACGAGAATAGAATTTATTCTCAAAATAAAAAATAGATAATACATTAACTTCTAAAAGAATTAAATCAATTAAAAAAAAATTAGGAAGTCCACAATAAATAAATATATAATCACATCTATTGACTATTTTGAGAAAGATACAATTCTTTTTGTAAAGAAGTAACATTGTCCTTCAATTGATCCCTTTCTTGTTTCAAAATATACAAGTCCGCTTCTAAGTCTTTTACCTTCATATTATAATGGGCATTTGAAATAGCAGCTTCATCATCATGTGGACTCGTTTCAGATATCGCTGGCGATGTAACACCACTATCTCCAAATTGTTCTTCATTAATGATAGGGGTTCTTGCACTAACTCTTCTTGATGCTCTTCTGAATAATTTCAATTCATTGTTCTCTTTAATCAATTTCTCCATCATGATTCTTTGATTATTTAATTCATCCTGAGTTAAATTAAGAGCTTTACTAGTATTATTAACAGATTGCAAGGCATCTCTATAATTTTCTTCAAATGTTTTCAAATGTTGCAATTTAATATTTAATTCGTTCTTTAAGCTTTGAATTTCATTCGATGATCCCATTTCTTGTTGTTTACTAATTTTCAATAGATCATCTAATTGTTTTTGTAATTTGGTTACCATTGCAGAGCTTTCAGAGTTAGGATTAATATTGCCCGACATATCTCTTTGCTCAGATGCACTTCTTGCAGACCATAAAGTGATTAAACTTTCCAAATGGGATGCGATTTCCTTTTTCGACTTTTTGCTGGCAGATGTGTTACTAGCGATAGATCTATTAACTTCTTCACCTTCTTGAGCGAAACGTTCGCCATCGCTATCAGAAAATTGATCATCAGCGTTTATGGTCTTGTAATTATCAAATTCTAATTGCAAATTGAGGAATTTATTTTTCCAATCATTAATCTCTCTATGCAAAGGTTCTTGATCCTTAACTTGGCTTGACAATTTGGAAATTTTTTCTTCTTGCGCTTTAATAATCCTTTGAAAGTTTGATAATTGTCCAATTTGATTATTCATGAATGGTTCGAAATCAGCAAACTTAGCTGTCAATGCAGAGTTTTCATCTTCCAAATAAATTAGTCTGTTGTTTAATTCCAACCTTTCTAACTTATATTTGCTCAATTCAGAAATTCCTCCGGCAGTGATTCCTCTTTCTGTACTTTCATCCTCATTAATTGCGAGCGAAGCCGGGTCAATTTGGCGCTTTAATTCATAAATCAAATTATCCTTTTCACTGAGTAATGCTTCTTTTTCTTGAAGCTGCCCTTTCAAATTAATGGATTTATCATCTTCTCTCAAGGAAGCATTCTCTTGTTCCAATAGAGATATTTTTTCAGTGGCGTTTTGCATCTGTACTTTCGTGGAAGCCTTTAAATCATTCAATTCATTTGTTAACTCATTAACTAACTTTTTGATTTTCGAATCTTCTTGTCCGTTTCTACTAATGGACGAAGATGGAACTTCCGAGTTTCTTTCTAAAACCGGAGTAGCATTGTTGCTTTGTCTTAAATCCTCGTTAGAGCTTATATAGTTATAGTCCTTTCCTAATACTTTCGGACGATTTCCATTAGATTCTAAGGTCGAATTATTACCTAATGCACCACGAGACCTAAGTTGAGACATTGGTGGAATTTCATCATCAGATGGTACGAAATCTTTTTGATCGTCAACAGAAATGTCTCTTTCTGAAATATTCCCAGATGGAACATCCACATCCACAAACGTATCTCCCGACAGAGTGTCATTTTGCTTGGATTGAATTTCGGAATCTGTAACAATTTTAGGTGTTCTCTCTGGTGAGACATTTGGGGTTTTGAAATCATCAGGCCCAGCTGAGTAACTTCTTGCATGACGTAACAGGTTGTTTCTCGAATCATCCCCGGCGGCAGGAGTAATAGGAGCAGCAGAAGCAGCCATCTTTTTGGTAGGAGACTTAGCTGCGGCCTTAGAAGTTGCATTTGAGGATAAGAAATGCTCGACAATATCTAAGTCTAATTCATAAATCATGGTTCCATATTCTTCACCATTGTACAATTCATAAGTTTCAAAATCATTTGGATCAGAATTGGTATAATCATTTTTGTCACCACCCATAATTAATAATTTGTTAAACTTTGGTAAATATGTCATTGAATGACCACATCTTGGACCAGGACCATTCTTTTCGCCCAGTTCAATCAATTTCGACCAGACTAAAGTATGCAAGTCCAATACATACAAAGAATTATAGATTATACCACTGAAATCGTTACCACCGTAAACAAATAATTTGTCATTAACAATACAACTTGCATGTTCATTGACGGGAGGCGGAACATTACCTGTGGTAGTAACTTGAATCCACTTGCTGATTAATGCGTCAAAACACCACAAATCATTTGAGATCTTTTCATTATTATAGACCCCACCAAAAACATAGATCTTGTTTTTATAAACTGACAATGAATGATTAGTCAAAGGAGGTGGTTTAAAGTTGTTTAAAGGTTCAATCAATTCCCATCGAGCCTTTGGACTCTTGAAAGTGTTCAATTCGAAGAAATACAAGTC